CAATTGGTAGCAAAAGTTTCAAAGAAATATTTGTTTCAATTATTTCTTTGGATACTGCTGTACATTAAAATAATTATGTATCTTGAATTTCTTTTGAATGATGGAAGACGCACGAGTGTCGAAGATTTTATCACAAGTGATTGTGGGTGCGACATTAGATCAAAGTCTTATTGATTAAATATGGATAACTTTACATTATTGATAGTCGAAAGAGGTTATTGCATATAATTTTTCAAAAGTTAATCCCATATTTATAAGTTATGAGTAAATATTTAAAATATTTCTCTGCATTGCAGTCATAAGTTGCTGCATCTATTTCCGTTTGGTCAACAGTTGTCATTGTATGGAATATCGACTAATAACTCAGTTTAGAAACAAAAAACTATTAAAATTTGAAAGCACAAATAAGTTTTTCATTTAATGTAGGAATAATAAAAAAAAACTTGTAAATTATTGAAATTTTTAAGGCTCAAATAAATTGCTTAAACAAATACAGACAAAAGTACTTAAACAAATAATTTTATAAACTCAGGAAACGATAATTATTTTTACAGTTTGATATGCTAAAAACAAAAAAATTATTATTCAAACTGAATTAGAAAATCAAAAATTAATCTGCGCATTTTTGATTAAGACAAATTAAATTATAGGGACGTCTAAAATGTGTCTTTAAATAAAACACTATAATTATTGACCTTTTATTATCAGAAAGCTAACTTGTAAAATTTATACCATTTATTAAGAATTATGAATCAAAAATTGTACAAAAAACAGCAAAGCAGCTTGTTTTTTGGCAACGAGTTATTCATCTTTTTTTGTCACCTTAAATTTCGAGGTTAACACATTTAAGCTATTAAAAAATCTATTTGAGCATTTTTTATGAACTCAAGCTTATCCCATTTATTTTAAATACACTTTGGTTCATATATATAAAACAGTCACTTAAAAAAAAAAAAAGATAATGAAATATTTAAACATTGTATTGATATTTATTTACACAATCGCTTGCATGTTCGAAAATAAAATATTTGGAATTTTCAAAACATTGCTTAATTTACTGCAGATATAAATTTCCCTTTCTAAAAATACTGTTCTGATTTAAAATGACGGAAAAAAATTCGCTACTGCTCTTAAGCTTAAAACTGTCACTTGGAATTGAGTTAAAAGAAATTGAAAGTGTGTAAACATGAAGTTCACGAGTTAAATGTTTGTCAATTCTAAATATTTCCGCAAAAATGAAAAGGTGCTGTTGAAAATGCACTAAAAAAATTAAATGGACATTTAAAAAAATGATTAGAAAAAATTTTTTAATCAAACTTCACTCCATAAAATGAATATCGCTCATTGCTGTTCTAAAAAAAACTTTCTTCCAAACAAAGGGCAAGTAGGTATCATGAAAATATTTTCAAATCAGTTATTTTAATAGTTCTTAATAACTGTGACTAGACAATACTTGTAAAAGTCAATAGAAAACCATGTTTTACAAATGTTATAAATTGTTACTTCAAGAAGCCGTTATTAAATGGATACAATGAAATATTAACTAAAAAAGTTAACAGTTGTTTAAATTTTTACTGAAATACATGAAATTAATATTCGTTTTTAAAATTAGAACCGCAATGTATTGTATTTTTAAAAAAAAATTTAAAGGACACCAAAATACGAACGTTGAAGAAACTTTACTGAAAAAGAATACTCGATCAATCTGACAATATAAAAAGTTATTTTAATGTTTAATTCTTTATTTGGTCTCGTTCTAAGTTCATTTGCAAAAAAAAAAAAATGATTTCCAAAATTATTTTTCAAAAACCACACTAATAAATTTCGGAATAAATTAATTATATTGTACCGGAACTTAAGGTGCATCCTGAAAAATTCATAAAAATATTTCATTCTTAAAAATTCCTTTTACCGTAATTTTTGTAGTAATATTTATTTAAATAGTGATCTAGTGATTTTACTGTAATTATTTCCGTAAAAATCACTATAAATCAGATTTTTTGTTTTGTTACATGTTTCGGTAAAAATGGATTTCCCGATATAAAAGTACAGACACCCCGAGTGCCGGAACTTTTTACCATAATTTGATTAGGAATTGTTTACAATGCAGTCATACGCCAAAAATAAATAACTAAAAAAAATCGAAAAAAGTTTCGATAAAATTAAGTTTTCTTTTTTTTAAAAAAAAGAGGAACTGTCTTTTCTTATTAAATACAAAAGCAAAATCAATCACAAAAAGTCTATGTAAACATGCTTGGAAAAGTCCTTGAATATAATTGAAAATTAAAATGAATCCTGAACACAGTTAGCTGCAATACTTAAAACTGCTATGCAAACTTAAAAGCAATTTTATCACACATATCATAAATTTTATCACACATATCATAAAACCATATCCTGTCATTGTCTCATGAGTTTCATTTAAACAACTACAACACGATATATTTTTTTGTAATTGAATGTAGATTGAAAAAAGTTCTACAAACCTTGTCGAAAATAATCTCATAAAATTACTATTTTCTTTTTACAATCAATGAAAATTGATAAAAGTAATATAAGATTGCCCATATTTAAAATTATTTCTTACACGTGGCCTCGCCTTATAGTTTTTAAATATTATTTTGATTTTAATAACTTGGGTAGGTCACGTTACTAAAGACGGCAAAAAGCTTTTACAACCCTGTCATTAAAGAACACAGCTCGACGGAATCTAATGCTTTAAAAGGCTTTCTTTGCTTAAGTAATTTTTGTCTACGGGTACTCGGTTTAGATTAGAAGAGAACAAAAAAATTCTCTCAAAAGATTTCGCCAAAAGATCTGCTTTTTTCAATGATCCCAAGAATAGCAGTAATCGAAAATCGACGGTTATAGTAACAAAACGTTCATTCAACTTCCATTAACACTTCCTCATTGTCGCCAAATGATCTTTAAAACCTTTGCTCACCAAAGCTTTTCGAAGTTATCACACGCTTTAACAAATCATCAACAGTAAAAAGTTGGCGTAAAAAGTAAATATTCAATGATTTCCGTACCTTTTTTTCATTCATAACACGCATCTGATATTATGTTGTCCGTTTCTGATTCACACCAACGGATTTAGATATCGTATCTGATTGTTCCCACCAGAATATCATAAAGAAAAGAAATGGGACACATTTGAATTACAACTTTTTTCGTGATTTAGGTTTGTATGATGGAACATATTACACCAACAATGGCGGAAAGCAATAGAGAGGTTTCATTTGTGCATGTTGTTTTGCAACCATCTTACAACAAAATAATTAACATCGGCTACTCGTAATGCCAGGTTTGTCAATTAAATTGGAATGAAAACTGTTTCCCAACACATTTACTGTCAAAATCGATTTAGATTATTTTTAGATTATAATCATTTCTATTTCTGTCTTTTGACAGGAAATGAAAATGTGACGGGTCTATTTACTGACGAGTCAGAGATAAAAGCTTCAAGAATATCAGCACTTTGTTCTCACGGAACATTTATTCTTACAAATATTAAAACTCATGAAGAGAATGTTTTTAGTATATAATGAATTGGGTTTTATTAATTCTTGGTTTATTTTTATTCTTTATTCATTTATCATTTTTCATTTGTTCATTTATTTATTATTTTTCCATTTATTTATTTAACGAAATAACAAAAAATTAAGACTCATAAAATACTTTTAAAAAATGGATAAAATTTTTACGCTATTCATGAACTTTTAGATATAGTCAAATAATATTTTTAGACATAGTCATTTTAATTATTAATAAATTATTAATGAAATAATTTTAGACATAGTCAAATAATATATCCGATAAATATTGTCTATGGGTATATACATGGCAACTAACATTTTACTATTTTTACATGCATTTTCGTTACTGTTTAAGAAAAAATTACAACTTACAACAATAATTTTGAAAGAATCTATTACTTTTTTTGAAAATTAAGCCAAACTATTTTTATGAATAATTCTCATTAAATTTTTACATTTATTGATTTTGGAAGCCACTGAACTACTAGAGCAAATACCAGCACTAATGTTAACATCGAAATCATAAAAATTTTACATGGCTATTTAATGATTAAATATTTATATACATCGATTATAATTCTACTCTGCCATCTAGTACTCCTGTTTTTCTCGTGTCACAAACTCATACGCTCGCTTGGCAACCTAAATAGCACAGCGTTTAAAATGCAATTACTTTTCAAAAAAAAAAAAATAACACTCTTTAATAATATCTAAAACAAATTTCAGGTTTTTAGTTTTAATTTTTTATTTTAGTTTTAATTTTTAATGTTCTTTAATGAAAGCACTTAAAAATGATTTTTTTAATACTACTTATTATTTGTTACTTAACAAAATCTGTACTTCTTACTCGAAACTTTAGCTCTTAAGCGTTTTTAATTTTGCATGTTACTTTTTAAACGAAACGTTTACATGCATGAGCAGTACTAGGAAGAAATATTACTGTGCAAATAAATTATCTAATGCAGTTTCTTTTTTAAATCTGTATTATTTCGTATTATTCCTTCATGCAATATTAAGCGTAATATTATAATTTACAATAAATTTTCAAACCATAAACTACTGAATAAGGAAATAAGTATTTAATTACCATATCTTCCCCATTTTATATTTAAGGGGAAAATTGTTTTCACAACCCACAACTAAATTTATTTATTTAATTAAAGAAAAAAAACATCTTCCTTGTCCACAATAATTAGTTAAATTATTAAGACACTGTGCTTTGCAATAGTAAAATGCTTCATTATCACCTTGATTTTATAATATCTTCATCAAAGTTTACAGTATCAAATTTTTTTGCTATTTAATGTGGTTAAAGTAATCCCTTCAGAGATGACATTATACCTACGGCCTTCAATTTATGTTTACAAAAAAAAAAAAAAAGAATTGACAAGCAAGGATGCTTTAAAAATTTTACAACAATCGCACACTAATTAATTATAAAACTTCGTTAATGAGTCTTACCTTTAAATAAATCCTAGTGTAAGATTACAAGTGAATTAAAATCCACACAAGTTAAAAGACAGCATTTTCTCCCATACCAATAACACAGAGCCTCAATATTCGTTGATTTCTTCCAAAATCAACTTCTATTGTGGCCTATGGCAATATTTCCAGATATTCATCACAAAGTTATTTGCCCAAATTCGATTCATCACGCCTCTAATGAACCTTCAATCGTAAGAATAAACACATTCTTGCTCTCAAAAGCACAAAAAACCACACGCACATAAACATCGACAATACCGTAAAAGGATTTTCAAAACACGTCTTCATGCATAACTGAAAACAGAAGATTCCAAGAACTTCCGCTGCATTGGATTTTTCATTGTTTGGTGCGTCCCAGCTTTTTAGATATAATTATAGCTCCATCTAAAATCCTTACCACCTGCCTTAAAACGTCTTATACCGAAAGTCCGTTTTGAAAAGATATTACGTGATGGGCCGGTCGGTGATTGTGAAAAACGAAAGTTGAAACGTGCGTTCAAATCTTGTGTTATTTTCGGAAAGGTCAGGTAGCCTCCAAGTTCGAAATTTTCACTCAGTTCATTTCTTTTGTTAGTTCGGATTACGAGATACGCGAATATAAATGCGCAGTAAAATTTAACTAAATAATTGAAAATTGTAAACTAACAAATTTAACTGAGAAATATAAAGAAGAATGTATAAAAAATACTTTAAAGATAATTATAAGTAAAATAATAAGTAGTAATAAGCAAATAATAAGTAAAATAATAAGTAGTAATAAGCAAATAATAAGTAAAATAATGAGTAGTAATAAGCAAATAATAAGTAAAATAATTATCAGTATGGCAAATTCGAAGATAGACATCAAGACCTATCATTGAATTGAATTAAATGTAAAAGTTCAATGGTACAAAAGTAAAGAACGGTTTCGCTGTGCATGATATTATGCTGAAGATATATAAATTTAATGCCATTATAAACCAACTTTGACGTAAAATTAAATTTTTTTTTAAAAAGAGGAGGAAAAAGTTTCTAACCAAATCGAGATAGTGAAATCCGTTTAATTGAAGTAGAAAGCATCTTGCGGAAATTGAAAGCTGTTAAGATTGAAACTAAAAAAAAGAAACACTCTACCATCTGTCGGGAAAATTATTACAGAACCTTGAATCTCAAAAACAATTTCCATAAAACATGAAAATCAGATATCGACGAGAAAAATCAAAGAATTTTTGAAGGAATTTGATTAAAATTTCCCCAGTAAAATTTGTGACGAACTGTCTCTCTCTCTTTAATGTGGAAACTATACACAAATGTAGAAATTGAGAAAGTTTAAATTGTTGCTCAAAATATAATGTAATTAAAATGAAAGTCATAGCTTATAATGGATTCCCTTGATAATTTTAAGAATTTTAGACAAAGACATAAATCGGTTTTTCACAAAGATCCATTGAAATTCAAAATTCCAATTAAGATTATTTTCTGAAGTTAACAGATAAACATTCTTGGGAATATACTTATTAAGAAAAACCCAAAAGTACTCTGGAGTCTATATGGCGTCATCTGTTAAAAAGAATCAAGTTGTTTAAATTTTACCTTATGATTCATAAAAGATCGATTCAATTACATAAAAGAAAATCTGACAACCGATTCCTTTTCATTCACCGAAAATGTGTGACATTTGCATCACGTTATTGCGTGTAGAACTGCGACCCTAATGGCCAAAGCCCAACATCCTGATTGAAGAACCTTTTCATTATAAGAATTAACACTAAAATGCTGCATAAAAATTAAAGAAACTAATATGTGAGTCATCTAAAAAAAATACTTGTCTTTTTCTACAAAGAAGATATCGTAATCTTATATCTACTTCAAGTTAAACAAGTGTTATTAATTCAAGAACGATTAATTTGCACTATAGTGTAGTACAACTCAGCTCCGTATTAAAGTTGTACTTAGCATAAACGATATATGCTTAAACACGTTTTAAAATTTCTAACAATATAAGTTTGTACGTTGTAGAGTGCGCAATGTATATGCAAGTTCTATAGTATACATTGTGTGTTGTTTAGTCAAAGACTTTTATGTGTATTTTAACAAATTTAACGAAAACGATATTAATTAATTACAATTATCTGTGACTTCATACTAAAAAATTAGTATAAATGAAAATGAATTAAAAAAAATAAAGTTTTATTTGAAAACTCTTTTAAATTAGAAAACACACTAAATTATTATTTTTTAATTCAGAAAGCAAATTTATTTCAATGATAGCAGTGTTTTTTAGAATAATTTTTAATTCTCCTTTAAATTTAATTAAATCAAAAAAATGAGACAACTAGGTACATGCAGAAGTGAAGTAACTATGCCTAACCATGTTATTTAAATCAGATTTAATGATTTACATACGATGACGTCACTTGCAGGCATCCAATTCAATTTTCATTAGGCTACAGATTTTCAAAAAGAAAGAAAAAATCGTTAACTCGTGCTGTTTAAAATATGAACAACATCTAAAATAATTAAACATCATCCTGATTTGATTCGCACAAAGTATTTTATAACATATTAACAATAAACTGTAAGAAATAAAACACTAGCATAACACTGGTAAATAGATGGGGGGAAAAAGGCATAGAATACTAAAGCAACCGTAACGGTACTTTAGGTCCAGAATAATTGTGTTTTTTAAACCACGAAGTTGAGTTGCTATGACAACCATAATTGGTGTCTCCAATATCATTGCCATCTAACACAGTTGCTGTAGTGTAGCTTTATTTATCATTTTGCAAATATGATTATAAATAAAGGAAGATACTTTTCGAGTTCATTATGTAAAGATCAATATCCAGGTGATGTTAAAAACAAAGATGAATAGGAAAATAATCAATATCGCTTTTTTTACAGATAGAAGAAAAAGTAATCAATACTATTTTTACACGAGTGTTAATCTTTTTGTTTTCGCACGTGGAACGGAATACGTCACTTAAATACTTTCAATGGAAATCTCATTCTACACTCATTATAGAGCTTTTTCGATATTTGCAATCGCTTTGGAATGAATTGAATTAAAATTATTGACAGTAACTTTAAGACATAAATCCAATTTGATAGACAAACTTTTTTTAACATAATACTTCATGAATTAAGTGCGCAAATGAAAAATATTTTTACAAAAATAGAAATTGACTAATTAATTTTACAAAAGATAATTAGTGAAAATGCTAAAATAAATACGTTAAATACAGTTCTAGCAAAAAGAAAAAGGGAAGCATGGTTTGTTTTGGAAGAAAAGCAACGAATACAATTTTTAAAGCAAATTGGTAATATCTTCTTCTTTACTTCCTAATTTTTTGTAGTTTTTTTTATCCTGTTTTTCGATGCTCTGTCGCCAAGGAATATAAAAAAAAAGCTTTAGTTTAAGTGCCTTTCACTTGAAGCAATGCGATGATTTAAAACTAGATATATAATCTTGCAGTGAAAAATTATCTGAGCTTTATAAGAGACAAATAACTTAAATATTTTAAAAGTTAATAAACTTTTTTAAAAATCGCCAATTTTTTCACCTGGATAAAAATTATCAAAATCACTGCCTTATCTACAGTTTTTGCAAATTTTTATGAGCTCAAGAAATACAGCACTGTAATAAGTTCTTAAATGTTAAAAAATTAGAACACAAACGAAATTTGTTTTTACGCAACTGTGGCTTTTCTCAATATTGACGTTTTGCGCCATTTTCCAAATAAGCGTAGACAACTCTGGATTTAGATAGGCTAAACTTAACCTAACAATCATGAGTAACAGTTGCAGATTCACAGCAGTTATAAAAATAGCATATTATTCAAAGAAAAAAACATCATTTTGTATTACGACGCAGCCTTCCGAAATCAATTTTAATAGAAAAACGCATTTTACATCACTTTGAGACATTTGAAATTGCTTAAAAAGGCAATAAGAATAATATAATTTTGCCATTCATAAGATTATAACATAAACATGTTATTATGATTAAGTTCTTTATATAGAGATTTTGAAGTATTCGTAGTTGAAATAGTAGTAGTATTTTATTTATGTCGCATTAGAGCTGCACAAAGCGCTATTGGCAACGGTCTGGGAAACAACAATGAGAGTAAACCGAAGAAATGCAATCAAAATTTGGGTGCTCGGCAGAGGGGATGGCTCCCTCGGTTTGGTAGCTTTACGATCTTTTCGCGAATTTGTGCACTCAATTATAGAACGAAGGTCAATATCGCGCATCCTCGGTCACTTCGCAGGATGATCAAAATGATCATCCGCATGCTCACTGGCCGCTGTCAGTGATACTTAACTTTGGTGATCTACTGGAAGTCGAAACTGGCGATTAGTCCACTAAGGCAGTGTTCCCCAACCCCAGGTCCGTGGACCGGTACCGGTCCGTGAATCAAATGGTACCGGGCCGCCCATTTCATTGAAACTGAATTTAAATTCCTAGGTTTATATCAAAAATTAAAAATAACTGTGTTCCATTAAAATTTTATTTATTTAAAAAAAGGGGCTCCCGAAGGTAGTGACATAAATTTTTTAACGTTTTAAAACGATTACCCCAGATGGAACCGTCTTATTACAAAGAAACAAGTTCAGGGTTCTCATCGTTCTTGTTAGTTAAAATGTTAAATCACTCTAAATTTATTTTTTAATGTAACTGTATTTTATTTTGAAGGCATGTTTAAATAAAATTAAATTAAAATTAATAAATCGAAATAATTTAAAATACAAACAATCAACGTCCCCCCCCCAAGCGGGCCGCGGTAAAATTATCAAACGTTGACAGGTCCGTGGTGATAAAAAGGTTGGGGAGCACTGCACTAAGGGACTGGCAATTGATAAAGGATTTTATTAAAAAAAAAATATCGGAAGTAGTTAATACATAAATACAAATAATTAATACTTACTATCGATAACAGAATTCTTCTGGATAAAAGGTTTATAAAAATGTTAAATTGCATTGATGAAAATAATTTTCACAAAATTAATTTGTAAAGTACTCACAGTATAAAAATATTATGTTAATAAATATTTTAATCAACAGCAAAATGTAGGGAAAATAAAAAAATTATTTTACAGAAAAACCAATCAATACTATTATTTTTAACTACTAAATGATGTAAGTCTTCCTTTCTTACTTTTACAATTATTCTTTTATTTCGTAAATTTATTTATTTACTTTTTGCAAAAGAAAAATTGTTTTAAGTAGGAATACTATTTCAAAATCCATACAAAGTCGAAGAGATAAAGGTTGCATTGATTTATAAAGGTTTTTTTTTACAGCTTAATTTTGATACTTTATTTGAGCTACTTAAAAAAAAATTATTTGAGCTATTTAGGACAATAACTTTAAAGCCAATGAAGTTAATGCAATAAATTCATTGCATAAATGTTTTTTTTTTATTGAAAACAATTTAATCTACAAGCGATTGAGCAGAAATACTCATAAAAAGTGAAAATGATAGTGTATATGTTTTGTTAATAGTCTATTTCAAGGTTTAATAACACATTCGTGACTACCGCAACTTGACGATAACGTTAAGAATAAACACTAAAATCAAAATCCTTTTTTATCTACTTTAATAAAATAAAGTGAATTCTAGGATAAGAAAACTT